GAGTAATTCAGGTTTAAAATCAAAGTTGTACCAATTTGGATTAAGCAAAGTGTTTTGGTATACATGATTATTTTTATTTGCTAATATTTCTGCTGCATATGTCAGGCTCAGGTAGTCTCTTCGGATGTTAAGTGCCGCTTCACCAGACTACGTAAAGGCTTCTCACAGAAGAAGTTCTAAAGACCCCATTGCAATTCTAATAGCTATATTATAAATTGAGTTCAGCTCTCTAAGTACAGACTTTTTATCGTAGCAGTATAATTTTGAGCCACATTCTAATTTTGACCTAATAGTTGCTCTGTATATATGTGCATTAGAGATGTATATTCAACAAGGTTTTCATTAAATTTAGTCCAAGCAATCATTCCTCTTTAAGATTTTAAATATGTAAGTTCCATCGGAGTTTCGAGTCAAAGAAAAGTTCTAGGAACCTAATTTCGTTTACAAATTCAAGTGACTGGTTGTATAAAACTAATATGGAGGTAGTCATGTGTCGGTTTTGTGAGAAGACAATGCATTTAGTTTTTTTTTTGTCGAAAATTGGAGAACTTTTTTTCGACACCAATTTTCCAAGTTGTCTACTGCATTTTGTGGGAGTTTACAAAATGATTGAGTGTTCTTTCCAGTTGTGTAAATAACTAATTTGTCGGTATAGAGGCTTAATTGGAGATTTTATGTTTTTTTGGGATGTCGTTGATTGTTATGAGAAAAAGAGTTTCACTTAAAGCTGAGCCTTGTTGAGTTCCATTCTCAATGTATTTTAGTTCTGTTAATATACCATTTACACGTACCTTAAAGCTTCTGTTATTTAAAAAGATTTTAATTAATATTAACATATTTCCAATTATTCCCCACAAGTTTAATTGTTTGATGATATCAGACGATATCAAACGCATTTTTAATGTCGAAGAAAATTGCTGTTACGTTTTCTCTGCTCAGAAAATGCTTGATGGATCTCAAACTCAAGGTTTATGAGATTATCAAATGTAGATCTTTTCTTCCTAAAACCACTTTGTTGAGATATATCTTATTTTGATCAAGGAAAAATGTTAGTCGTGAATTTAATATTTTTTTAATTATTTTACACATTTTACAGGTCAAAGATATCAGCCTATACGAGCTTGGGTCGGTTCGCTTTTTACTGAGTTTCAAAGTTGGTGTAACCCGAGAATAACGATCAAGGAGAAGCGACAGCTTGATGTTTTTAGCGTACTGTTTTGTAACGCGCATGTGCGAAAATAAGTTATGTTATATGTCAAAGTCAGTCCAAGTTGTGTTTAGTACGTGAGCAATGTTAAGTGATATTTTTTGGTGTTTGTTTTGTGTAGTAATAAGATGAAGATTTTTACACACTTAGGTATTCTAATGCAAATATAAAATGTGCCAAAAAAGTTATTAGGAAACTACAAATTTTATAACATGCATAAATATAAAGTATAATGATTTAATCATTTTTGACATTTTATTTTTCATATGTAGGTATTGTATTTTGTGAAATATTTGTTTTCTTCTTTTGAATAAATTTAATAAACAATGAACTGGAGATTTTGTTTATTTTATTTGAAAATTATATTTAAAAAAATATAATAAATCCGCGTGTTTCAATTAGGATTGGTCAAAATGGGCGAAATCCCTATATTATGGCTAAATTGTAAGGTACAAATATGTCAATATAAAGATGTTTTGCCCATTCATATTTACATTTATTGAATGAATCATACTGGAGTTGATTTTGGAAATATTGGTGCATACTTAAATAAATACTATTTCAAAAAATTCGTCTATGCCCAGACAGCACACATAGTCCAATGTACGTCCACTTTAGATCAATTTGAGGGTCATTACGTCCACTTCCGGTATAAGTCCGTTGTGTAAGTCCGTTTATGCTAATTAAATTGACAGCTGAATATCGATACCCAGAGAATGTCTGTTTTTGGACTTAATTTTAAGTTTAGTAGTATTTTGACGTCCAGTGGACGTCCATCTTAGGTCATTATTTATTAAGCCTACCAGATAATACTCATCTATAATATATACTTCTTTTTTTAATATAACTGGTCAATAAAAATTGACAAATTGAATCTATTGCATTTCATTCTATCAGCGGAAGTTTGAAATCTTATTCAATTATAACTGTATCTAGTAAAAAGTTTTCAAGTGGTTCCTTGGTTGAGCTCGTCTAGCAATTAAAAGCGTAAAACGATAATGGATGTGTCGTGAGTTCGATTCGTGCTCAGGTCAAGCAATTTTAATAAAAAAAATAAATGGTGTATAGCGGTTTGCGAAAATAATAAACAAATTATTAATAATATAAAATAGTGTGTGGTAAGTTGCGGTTCTGTAAAAAAAGTGGGAATGTGGTCTCAATGGAAATATAATCCTGGACGTTTCTTGAATGTCCAGTATTCGACGTCCAAATATATTCCAGAATTGAACGTCCTCTAAATGGTTGAAAGTGTGCCATTTGTATACTTCACTGGACGTCCATTGGATGTCGGAAGTCCAGAAAAAACTAATTTTTGGACGTCTTGACATCCAAAATTGTATATCAAATGGACGTCCAATGGACATATTTTGTATTGTCTGGGTGATAGCCAGGCCAGGTATTTAACTATAAATACATAAACCTTAAATAACATCTGGCTTAACTTGGCGAGAAAACACTTGTTTATACAGAAATGAGTAATAAACTTGAAAGTCCTTTTAATATAATATAAATCCAGAAATTCTAAAAATATGTAAGTACTTTTTAAACCTAAAAGTTTTGAAAATATAAGTACATTGCAAATATTTAGGTAAATCTCTCAAACTTAATGTCTTTTTAATTGTTACCTAATTTTTTTTTGGCACCGTTAATTTTATTAACCTTATTTTTACTTAAGAAATATTTTATTTAATATTTAAAATAGTTTTGTTTTCATAAATTTTAAATATTTTTGAGAAAAATATAAGGTATGCATCCGGTCCAGGGCTAGAATTTTTAGTTTTATTTAAAATATTTGATAATTCGATTAGTGAAATAAGATAATTTAAGGGATCGTTTTGATCATTGATTATTAAAATTTCTTGACTATCTGCCTGATTTTTAAATAATAAAAACTCCGGATTATCATTTGAGCTGCTGCTTTGTTTTAAATATGCATTTGCTAAGGTTTCAGCAAGGATTGGGTTATAGTTTATATGCGTATTTTCGTAAACCAATGTAGTTATAGCAGAATGGGTTTTACGTCCTTTTATACTTCCATATGTTTGAGATAGGGGTAAAACTATTTATAGAGGAAATGTAACTTTGTCCACTTTGTTCCTTACTGTCTTTGATTATACGTCTCATTCTGGCCCTTATTTCTTTAACTTTGTTACACTTTTCTGTGTTGAAGCTTTAAATTTTGTAACGCTTTTTTGTTAGATTTTATTGCTTCGTCGCAGTTTTTGTTGCACCAAGAAATAGGAGTACGCTTGTTTTTGTTTTACCTATCGAATCTTCTACATTCATATTAATGATGATAAATTTTCTACCACGGAGTTAATCCTGGTGTCGGAAGTGAGATCTTCATGAGTTAAGTAGTATTCAATTGAATCAGAGAAATTTTTCCAGTTGTCACTAATGGCATTTTTCAGTTTCCATAAACTAATTGATGATTTAGAAAATTCGCTATAAAAACTTGAGTGAATAACGATAGGACAACGGTCACCGTCATAAATGTATGGCGAAACATCCCAGGACAGGACTGGGACAGTATTCTAGTTACAGAGAGAAAGATCTATAGCTGAGTGTTTATTTGTAGTTGGATTGATTCTTGTTATTTGACCGGTGTTTAGCAATATAAGATCTGAAGAGTTGGATAAAGTTTTCGAAAATTCTTCCTTTAGCATCGGTTTTAGGATTGCCCCAGATAATATTGTACATAATAAAATCTCCTACTAGGATGTACGGTTTTGGAAGTTGACAATATTTTCATTTTTGTAATTTTTTAATGAACTTTTCGTGTAAAGTTGATTAATTTTATTAACTTTGTTTTATAATAATTTGTTGGTACCAAGTAGGTATATTTTTTAATATAATAATATTAAAAAATATGTTTAATAATTTTGTTCTCTAATGTTTTAATGCAAATTTTTGGCACTAGGTGTGCCAGTGTGCAAATAATATGACTTCAAAATCAGTTGCAATTTGAAAAATATAACTTTTTGAGGTATACATAAAAAATAATCAGCTTTGAATTTTGCAACACTAACAACATCTTTTTATGAAAATCGCTTTCCAATTAATTGACTTTATTTTATTTACATAAGGATTTCATAAAAAATTTTGAATTTTTGTAATACCCTTTATTCATATAATTGCAAGTTTAAATTTATAAAAAATTCAAAACATTTTACTTTTTTTCCATTGAATTCAAATTTGATCATTTGCTTTTATTAGGACTACATTTTTACAAAAAAATTGACAGGAAATGGAGGTTAGTGCCAATTGACTGTGGTCGATTATACTTAACATCGATAAAAATTAAATATTTTATAATGTTTGAGAACATCATACAATTTCACCGATAAGTAATAAGCTTGATCTGTCAAATATGAAATTATGAATTTTACTAAATAAAAAAAAAATAATAATAATGGTAGATTTACTTTGTGTAATATTTATAAATATTTACAATAATTAAAATCATACTGGATGACAATTAAAAACCTTACAGTGACTTTATCTAATGAATTTAAGATATCAGAAAGTACTTATAACTTAAATGATAACATGCAGACTTTATCCCCATCAATCTCCTATGTGCCGCCTACCTCTAAAAAAGGAGTAACTCCTTATTTTTCATAGATCAATGTAAAGCTAGTAATTTTTTTTTAACTGATACTTTATACAGGGTGGTACAATAGCACATAATAATTAAAAAGAAGATGGCATGTTTTATCTGAATTAAAGTTTTTTAAATATTTCTAGTCTAAGAGTACAAAGTAAGTTGAATTTATTATATTTTTGTTTTAATTCTCGTTTTTATAAATTCTTGGATTTTTTTACCAATCCAAAAGTTTAATTTATAATTAATTGAAATTTAAAAATTAAATCCATAAAAAATATCAATTTGGCAAGAATTTAGTGCTGATGACCCAAATAGACGGGCCCTTTGTTTTAAATATATTTTTAAATAATATGTACTATCATATGTATAGGGTATAACTCATACCATCAAGAAGCATTTTTAGTAGTCTTCTAATGATGTATGACAAGTAGGGGATTGCTGTTTATTCACTTAATGCTGAGGTACTGTATTTTTTCATTTAGGTTTACCTCTTATATCCTAGAAGTAGTTTGAAACATTTTTTAATATCATCTTTAGTTCACGAGATACATTCATTCATTGTAAGTTTTTTAGTGGTCACCATCTATATCTAATATCTCGAAAACTGTTAGATATAAGTCTAATATTAACAATTAAGAGTATTTGGTAATATAATGCCATTTGTAACACCTAATTTTTATTGTATATACCTTCTGTAGAGACTCTTCATTGCCATAATCAATATTTAAATGTCACAAAGAGTATAATAGGATTTATCGTTTAGAGTTACCTATAGACTGCAGAAATAAAATTGAAATAAATTTTTCTGATATCTTTAATTCATCAGAAAAATGAATAACATATTAGTTTATTTAAAATTGACATTCAAAATGTCATTTTTCAATTCAAAAATTTATTAATTTCTTATTTTATAAAAATAGATTGATATCTTTTTCGTTATTGCCAGCCCCTCTTCAAGAACAATAAATTCTTTAATCAGTCCTCCAAAAAATTATTAACAAAGTTCACGTGTTTGTTTCTTTATGGACACCCGCACTCGTCCACCACCATTTTAGGTAAGTCCCTTTTGATTATGGTCGAGTCAGGTCCGTAATAGATCAAACTCATGCTAGAAAATTTAAGTGGTGCGCAACACGGCGTCATACCTGACAGATGCTGCGTCTTGCGTACTTCCTCGATCACGTGCGTGTGGTACGTGACGTACGTGTCGGGTGTCCGATGGTGACTGCAATCTCCCCGACAGTAATTAGCATAGTACCTGCAATGAATAAAATACATAAATATTTTCAACGGTAATATAATAAGTAGTAAATTTGTATTATAACAAAGAATACAAGTAGATATTAGAATATTGAGGTGAACTTGATCTAATTTGTGTCAAGATATTAACTCATTCTAGTACCTCCTTGAAACTTTAATACAACAGGAAGTATCCACAGGCATACATATTGCATGTTTTTTGAGCTATTAAAATCCTACTTATCAAAAAGGTATTTCAGAATTAAACCAGAAAAAGCCTATTCCGACATGAGAGAAATTGAGGCAGGAGTACTTTAAGGAAGTGTACTAAGTTTAGTACTGTTATGCAGGTTGTTGGTATCATAATTTCTCTTAATTCAACTTTTACAATAACTACAATTCAACTTTAACAATAACTATCCAACTAATAACATAAAACTGAACTCTGACGTCAGGTCGTCGACTTATATAGCTTGCATCGACCTTCTAGAACCTTCGCGAACAATCCGGACTTTTCTTTGACAAGGAATGATATTTCGAGACATTTCTGGACTATTCTATCTTTTTTATTTAATCGTACCTTTACTTATGACAACCGCAGCACGCTACAGGGTGCTGCGTAACAGTACTATAATTGTTGTATACCAGAGATATTCTTAATTTTAAGCCGAATACTATCCCAACATTTGCTGATGATACCTTAATCCGTACTGTTGGGAAAAATCACGAAAACGCTAATAGAAAATAGCAAAATCTATAGATCAGTTTTATACCTGGATGAAAAGATAGCGAATAAAATTAAATAAAGGCAATTCTCTCTTTATCAACTTCAGTAATAAAAAAATGATCATATTCCTATTAGAATTAATGAAATTCCGATCCCTTTTGTCAATACAGCAAAATATCTGGGTATGACATTTGATGCTAGACTTTGCTGGAAAGCTTCTTTACAGTCAGATATTGAAACCCGTATGGACGTATTGTATCCAGCTTTGGAGCTATGCCAGTCAAAGTAACATCTAAGTTATTCAACGTTTCCAGGATAAAGTATTAAGGAACATTGTCGATTTACCCTGGTACTGCCGCATACTGGCAATACTGATTTTTATAGAAACCTTAAAGTGGCGACTGTTGAAAATACAATACAAAAATTGGCCAGTAGTCACCAGCAACGACTGCACTCACCAACATGGAAACGCTGAGGTTATCCAGCTTCTCAACAACGTCTTTCTAATAAGAAGACTCAAGAGAACCAGCCCTTTTGAGTTAATTCAGTGATGTTAGATAAAAGCAGAGTATAGTGCGGTTAACAGTAGTGTAACTAAATAATATAATTAGAATCGAAGGTACCCTAGTGATCAGAATCGTAGTTTATGAAGTTTTTCAGTCCTAGATAAGTTAGGTTAAAATAAAATTTCTAATTGCTCGTGTAGAAGATGTGAACATAAGAGGCTTGATTGCGAGGGGATGTCCACAGGGAGGGATGCTATCACCTCTAATGTAGAACATGGTTCTCGACACTCTCATCTACCGTCTCAATAATGACAGTCGCTATTCAATATCATATGCAGATGACCTGGTCATTCTGCAAACAGGGAATTTTGAGACCATACTCTGCGAAAGAATGCAAGAATGGAAGACATAGTTCTAAAACAAAAATGATGTTGTAAGAAAAATTGCTAGCGACATTATCCCACAGGTTGTTTTAAAAGTAGGGTAAAAAATAGCCCTTTGATTAACCTTAAATAATAGGTCAAACATTAATTTTTATGAAAATACTGAATACATATATGAAAGCTGATAAAATTATATACAGTGTGCTAAAAAATTTATTAAAATAACATTAAAATTAAAAAAATTATAACACTTTCAATTAGAACCAAATTTTTTGCGTTGCCTTTTTTTGCATCTGAGTGTATTACCGAGTTTTGTCATTGTTACTTACCCTTGTGGTGCTATCACCCAGTCATCCCATCCAAGCGCCTTAAAACTAACATAAAATCTCTGTTTGCAACATTGATTCCCCGAATCCTCGGAACAATCGATTGCTCTTCGTCGCACCCTCTTCGCTGTACTAGGATCCGTATGGATGACCAGAAATGGCCTGTTGACGCTCGTCCTTTTGCTTCGTTCATTATTGAATAAGTGGATTCTCCAATTGGAACAACAACTACAATCCACGAACAACCGGAGTTTTTCGTTGTTAGACTCCGCTAACCATTGTCTGACGGTGTCCGTCAGGTCGATTTTCTGCCAACCGCTGTGGGACTCCTCTAAGGTGATGGAAATGGGGTCCGAAGTCAGTCGGTCGAATTGCTAGAATAAAATATTAAGTCAATAAATAATGTTTCGTGGGTATTATATTAAGGGCGCCACAGCACCCCAGAATTAACGGAAATACAGTTTATTAAAATTGAAATTTTGCTTGATATTTTCTTTCGCAGATAATTCTTCATAATTTATTAATTTTATTGCAAAATATGTCACCTCAAGTATATTTTAAATTATAATTCTGTGGCTATTTGGCAAAACATGATAACTCACTTTTTTTGCGTTTTCGAGATTTTGTCACCATGATATGTCTACAATACCAAATTTTATATTGGCAAGACATAATATCTCTATCTGGACAATTGTGGATGCACCGGGATATAGTCATTATTTTTTTTCTTGCCGTTTCATGTTTTGGCTAAACCTGATATGTAGGCATATCAAGTTTTGCCAAATAATAAAAATAGTATAAAATAAACATATCAGGTTATGACAAGTAATTTTAAGGTTATTCTAATACCTCATTTTGTTGTTTATAGAGCTACTGTATAAAGTGTTGAAAATTATTGATGTGATTTTTTGATAATTAAAAGAAAAGGTAAGTACTAAATGGTTTTTTATTTTGTAATTTAATGAGTCTGTTGTTATAGATTTCATTAGAATTATATATAAAACTTAAACTGAGAACCTATAGAGCAACTTATAAAGTAACAAATTTATACTACTTTTACCTTTCTCAATAGTTTTATTCTATTATTTTAAAAATATTAATTTGGTGTACGTTATTTTTTAGAAACAAATAGGTATCTATTTTCTTTTTACCTAGACAAAGAAAATAAAATCTAAATATTTTCAATTTAGATAGGTTCTTAGTGTAGGTAATAAACCTATAAGATAGTAAATTTTGCCTAATTTTTGAACAAAAGATATCAACACATCATTTTGTTTTCTAAAATTTTTAAAACTATATATTTCTCTTTCAGATGGATAACAAATTCAAAAAACTATCAATGTCAAAGCGTATGGTAGAAATGGCGAAACCAGTATATAGTAAATCCGCAGAAATGGTGGAACTGCCAAAAATTTGTGTTTTGGATCAGAAAGTTATTGGTCAAGGGGTATTCAGTGATAAAACATGTCAATTGGATAGTGAAAATAATATGGAGAAAGTACTGAAAACTCGAATCAAAAATCAAAAAGTGATAGTTGAAAGAGTTTTCAGTTGTAGTAATGTGGATAACGTATCTCAAACAGCGAAAATCCCTTGCTCATACCAAATAATTAGTTAATCTGAAAATGAATATCAAACAACTAGTTTTGTGTCCAAAAAAAGTGTGTGACAGGCTCCTGGTTCACCTACAGTAAATCAGCGAGTCTGTGTGGCGCTATGAATGTAATTCCCGAATAGGGGTTGCAGGGGTTGCTCAGGCGCCAGTTTTGGTACCGCAGTTTGCTCTGCGACCCTGAAATACACCAGAGTGTACTCAAGGTAAACTCAGTGGAGATCAAAATAATTCCAGGCGGTCACTGCTAGGTATTCACTATACTAGAATAAATAAAAATAAAACACTTATCTTCTTTCTACCTCGTACCCTACGGTACCCTGAAAGAGAACGGTCAAGAACCAGCAATAATAGAAACACAGGAATAGGTACTAAAATATATATTTACAAAAAAAATAAATACAACGGTAATTATATTTGAACGGCTCCCTGCATCCGGAAAATCTATTCTTTAAAAATAAATTATAAAATTGAAAAGTATTTAAATATTGACGGATACCTGTATTTTGAAAATTTATTAAAAATAAATTATTAAAGTTGAAAACTATTTAAATATTGCCGGACCCCGTATTTGGAAAATATATTAAAAATAAATTATTAAAGTTGAAAATATTTATGAAAAATAAATTATTATTACTGAAAATTATTTAAACATATTGATGGATCCCTATTTTCGGAAAATTGTATGAAAAATAAATTATTTAAACGTAGGGAAATATTTATGAAAAATAAATTATTATTGAAAATTATTTAAACATAGAGAAATATTTATGGTTTATTATCACAGGAGGCTAATCGGACTGGGAAGTGTGAAACGCCCAGTATACGGAAAATGTATGAAAATAAATTCATACACTTGAAAACAATTTAAATATGACGGTAATCAAATGCAAGCAAATAAATGAAATCAAAATTGTCGGAATCCCCTTGTATCTTAATAACCAATCGATGGGAAACGAAAATTTTCGCCTACTGATAAATATGATTATTCACGCGGTGTTTTGAACGGCGACCACAACGATCGTAGAAAATAATATTTATGAATTTTGCCCAGCGTCTATCGAGAGCGTGTGTGTAAATTTAATTTTACAGAAGTCATCGGCTTCGTTCAATAATTAGTTGTGGACGGAGAACGGAATGATTCAAATACAATTGAATGAATAAATGAAAGAAAAGAAATTTTACACGAAGTGAGGTGCGGAAATTACTTAAAACGTCTTTTGGGGAAATTAGATACGTCATCAGGAGAGAGATCACTCTAGCCCGAGAAACGGATCGAACCTTCGAAAAAAGAAAAAAAAGATAAAACAATAAAATAATAAAAAAAATCGAAAACAGGTCGAATCTCTCACTTCGATGTTTTTAAAAGAAATTGGATATAGTAGCTGACAAAGAGAACACTCGGTGTCTAGTCTAGGTCCAACCTCAAATAAAAAATTGCCAACGGTTTCCCACTAAGGGATGAAATGAAAAATGCTGGGCATGAATTAAAATTATTTTACTTGTCGGACGGGTGTCCCCAACTAATTGTAAATAAAAAAAAATAAGCGGTTTCCTACCTTTAGAAAAATAACCGGGGTTGATCGATGAACTAAATCACGGTACTCACGGCACTAGGTACTAACTAAGGGTGAATAGTTTTCGGCTGTCGGCAATCACGAGAGAAGAGCTTACGGCGGCTGTCAAGCGAGAAGAGCGCGTAATTCCCAAATGGGATTTAATTTATGCTTTTTCGGTAAAGCAAGATGGAAGACCAGTACAACAAAGTGGGGATACCACTACTACAGCCGACTGTTTACAATTTAAAAATAAAAAAATGCCGTTATAGTCCTTGACAAATAAAAGGTAGATAATCCATACGAAATCGATTGTTGAAAAACGGTAATTCCTGGGAAACAGAAATACGGGGGAGCTTCTACATGTTCTCAGGCGGGAATTAATTGAAGTATTATCCAAAAGATATAAGCCATCAAGTCCTGATATCTAGAATAATAATAGTATACAGCAAACAAAAAAAAAGAAACAGAATAAGCAGAAAATTGATGAAGAAAAAGAAATCAAAAGGGGAGGAATATATTTCCATAAAAGAAGTTGTGAAACCAGCCAAAGAATTTGAGCCTGTAGCTACTTGTTTCAAATTTTATAAATTTGTTGAGAGACTGTCACCAGAAGTACAAAAAAGTATTTTCGAGAACATTTTTAGAAATATCACTGACAAATATCAGTTTCTAGCTGACAGAATAAGATTCTCGGAAAACAAGTAGTAAGAAAAAGTCAAGACACTAAAACCGGAAAAAGAAAGAATAGAGATATCACGGATTTATACTACCTTATCTGGCACAGACATTAATATTTGCAAAACTATGTTCCAAAAAGTTCACGGCATTACAAGAGAAAAAATTGCTTTTATAGTTCAAAAGAAACAGAAGTGTTAAAGAAAACTTAGGAAAGCCACGCAAGCCAGTAAATAGTAGGGATAATTAAAGAGAGGCAGTAATCGAACACATTAACAGTTATCCAAAATATCATAGTCATTACTCCAGAAGCTGTACAACAAAGCTGTACTTAGCACCTATCCTTAATGTCGCCAAAACGTATGACATATACGTCGCTAAAAGAAAGGCTAAAGGAAAGTAAAAACCATAATGCTATAGTATTTACCCTAAACTATTCAGTAAAACAGGTTTTAAAATCAAAAATCCAAGTATAAATAAATTTAAAATATGTGATAGATGAACTTAAATTGCGCATCTACTGAGGAAGAACGGAACGAGAAAGCTCTGGAGAAAGAGAAACACTTGGAATTGGCAGAAAAAGCCCCTAACCAAAAGAAATTCGTCAAAGAAAGAGCAAGTCAATCTCAAAATGAGCGTGTACTGGTTTCCGACTTACAGCAAAATCTTTCAACTCCTTCGTTAACAACTGACGAAGTCTACTATAAAAGACAGTTGTGGATCTATAACTTTACAGTAAGAGATTGTAATGCGGCACATACGACATGTTTTATGTGACATGAAACTATATCGGATCGAGGGGCTGAACAAATTGAAGAAGATAAAGAAAATAGATATAAACAAACTGGAGAAAAATAATAAAAAAATAAAGCAATAAACAGTAATATGAATGAAATGGACAAACAATAAATCAAAACAACGAATGATCGAAAATAAAATGGAAGTAATGATAAAAAAATGGAAGAAAATAGTAGAAATGATAAAGGAGAGAGAAAATATAAACGTAAGGAGGCAGAGAAGAAATTATAAAGAAAATGGAGAGAATGGAAAAACCATAAAACAGAATATGAGAAAAGCGATAGAGAAAGTAGAAAAGAAACTGGAAGTAGCAGTGAAAAAAATAAAAAAGTCAGAGTAACTAACAGAAAATAAGATAAAAGAAACAGGATAAGGATTAAAAATGGAAATATTTGGCAGTATAAACTATAAAAGGAGAAAATGTACATTTTTAAATTTAGAAGAAAACCAAGAATTTTTGAAATAAGAAATAAAGAAAGAAATCGAACAGAAAAATTTCGAAAAAGATTTGAGCAAAAAATAACAGATATAAAAGTAGAAGTTAAAAAAAATATGTATTAGTAAACAAAATGAAATAAAACGAAATGACATAAGGAAGAAAAAATAAAAATAAATGAAGACGTAAGAAAAAAAATAGGTAAGAAGACAAAGGAAGACAAAAAAGAATATGTTAGAAGGAAATAGAAGAGTGAGAATATAAGTCAGAGGAAAACAGAAATGAAATAGGCAG